ATTTTTGTGTCAAGATTTATGGAAACCATTAAAATAATTATTTTATTTAGAATTTTGTCTACAAAAACAAATGAAATAAAGTAGAAAATACTATGAAAGGTTTCTAAAATATTAGCCTCTGATTGTCATGTTATATATATCATGTGACCCAGCTTCGTTACATTGATACATTCCCTTGTTCTTCTTTGAGAACATATACCATAGCAGTAGACTAACTCCATTGTCCCCTTGTCACCAGAATTATTCATGTGCCAACTACTCGTACGATCTTCAAGCAAACTCTTTGAAGTTTGGAATTTTACTCTCTTGTTGATTTAATTTGTATGGCTCTGTATGTGACGTTTTATTTCATTGGTGGTGACCCTTCTAGTTGCCCTTCCGCAGCCATTGTTTTTTTTGGTCATCAGGGATGGTCTGACATTCATATTATGTGAAGACTCTTACCAAAAAGAGTAGATCTTTAAGGTTGGACGACAACTCAAATGCCTTAAAGTTTCTAGTTGTGTTCACAAGTCACAAAACATCATCAAAAAAGTTCATGGGTCTTACCAAGAACATCTTTTGATATCGCTGGATGATTTCTTTAGTTCCTTATTACTCCTCTAGTGTTTGGTGATATCTGGTCAACGATGGAGATTAATATTATCACTCATGATCTATAACTTCATTTATTCACCTTTTCTTGTACCTGTGGTTGAGGAAACCAAATAAAAAATATTTCATGTGAGTAGTTAAATAACCATGGTAATAAAATGACTAACGAAGTTCACTTTAAACCCTAATATCACTTCATTCTCCTTAAATCACATCAACATTTGCTGGACATAGTTACCTAGCGAAAGAACAATCTTAGAAAAAAAACAAACATACACGTTGAACTCTAGCCATCTAGCACCGTAAACTCGGGAAAATGGCTCGAGTTGTGCTATGTGTTATCGAATGGCTTGAAACATGTACCAAAACTCAATTTAAAAATTTGAGTAATTGGATAAAACCCATGCATTGGAGCGCTGTTTAGTTGATTAACCATATCTATATCTCTTTACATTAACCACTATGGTCTGGAAGATAAAAGAAGGTTAATAGAAAATTGAAGGAAAGTAAGAGTCAGTTTTGTAATCTTATCTTCTAAAAACTCTGCTTCACTAAACGAAATCAAAGAAGCAGCTAAATACCTAAGAAACCATAGTTCCAAGTGCTGTTTCCTTTCTAATACGGAACGGAAATGCCATCTGTTTGATTTTCAAGATAATGAAAAACAGTGGAGCAATTCTTCTTAATTACCAAGATATGTGAGTGGGAAAAAGGTCAAACCTCATAGATGATATCGAAGAAGCGTGTCGGTCGAATCAGTGGGTATAGAGATGAATGGAGGCTATCCCCAGTTAAAGGAATCTGTACCAAACTGAAACATCTTCTACTCAGTCAAATCGCAATCCGACTTATTTCACAAACGCAAAAAAAAAGCTCATTGTGTAGAACAAATTGTATAAACGATGTTATAGAATCGACCTTCTTACTATTGAACGGTACGTAGAGATGAAATCGGACTTTTGTTCCTATTGAACGATAGCCATCTTGGTAAGACATCATCGGAATGTAGATCGTCGTCGTTACGAAGTAGTAAGGGAAGAGAGAGAGATAGGATTGAGCATGTTTGATGTGGCGTGTTACCGTGACGTGTATGGTTCTAGAGTTTCTGATTGGCCGATAATTTCTTTTGTCTATGTGGAGGGTTTTCAAATTGTTTAACGCAAACGAATAACATAAATGTGCTGATGTGGCATCATGAGAAGATTTTATAGAAAAGCTGATGTGGATGGCTGGAGAGGCTTCAATTAGTTCCTTTTATTAGTACAGTGAAACCTCTATAAATTAATACTCTATAAATTAATAACCTCTCTAAATTAATAAATTTTTCCGATTCCGAGTTGGGACTAGTGTAAAATATGACATAAATCGATAAATTAATAAGATAATAATTTTTTTGAAAATCTCATGTAAACATATGGTCCCATCTATAGCATAAATTAATAATTGTATTAACTTCTCAATATATATATATATATACATTATATAAATTTATATATGTAATATATGAATTACTATAATATATATTTAATATATTATATGTAAAATATTTGATGAAATATGACTCTATTATTTGTAAAAAGTTTGTGTTGTTTTTTTAACTTAATAATTGTTTCTCCACTTGTAATTAGTTTTCAAAAGATATTGTTTATAAAGTAAAATTTTATTTTTAGATAGAAATTTTTGTAAGAAATTACAAAATTATGAAAATATCTCTATAAATTAATAATTATTAATTTATCGATAAATTAATACCTCACTAAATTAATAAAATTTCTTGGTCCCAACATTATTAATTTATAGAGGTTTTACTGTATTAGTAAGAGATTTTCTTTTTCATACAACACTTTAGAAAAAATAATTATTAATTATATGTAATAAATTTTACAAAAAAGTCTGAAAATTTGACCATACAAAAATTTCAATTCAACTACATAAACTCGGAGAGGAAAAATTCCAAAATATGTAGATCTAGAAATAGAAGACAAGCGAAGTAATGGATGTAAAGAAGCTTACAAGGAAATTGAAGGTCCAAAGGCTTGATGGCGAGAAGCTCGATGTTACTCATCCCAATTAAATCGCCGGAGATTCGAACTAATTTGCATTGCCGTAAAAACGACCAAAAGATGAGTTTTCCGGCGGATTGATTCGTCCCGTGACATCAGGGGCGGAGGCACACTATAGGTAGTGGGGTCAGCTGACCCCAACTACTTTCTAAAATTCTATCATATGTCTTACCATTAGATCTAATGAACCCAATTAAAATTATCTCTTGACCCCATTGATTCAATCAAAAAACTAATTTACATATAAAAAGTGCAATATTTTTCGAAATTGAACCCACGTTCAAACGAAACCCAAAACAATAATACAACTTTTAATGATTTATATGAATTAAATAACAATTAAAAATTTTGCCGCTTGAAAAAAAACTCCAAATTATGGCATCTTTAAATCAAGGTAATGCTTTTTTTGCTATTTTTTTTTTGTTTTTAAAAATGTCTTATACTTTTGTAATATGATTCGTTTGTTTAGAAAAGGTATGAATGAATGTAGAATGCAATTATAGATTATTTTTTTTACAGTTTATAAACAATTTTTTTTAATATTTATTTTAACCCCAGTTAAAAACAATCCTGGCTCCGCCACTGCGTGACATCGTTTCCGTTTTTAGAGAGAGCAAGCGTTGATGGAGAACAAAATCGAGAGAGACTTATCTCTGAATTTTTTTTCCAAAAATCTGAATCAATACGCAAAGTGAAGAGTTTCTGAGTAATCGCAAACCTAAAAAATATCCTCTTTCAATTTTATTTTAGACGCCATCTTTTTTTGTCGGTTATAAAAACGACGTTAATTCCCTTCCAGTTTTAAAAAAGTGACGTCTCTTAGCATATTTTTTTGAAGTGTTAGGATATGAATATGATATCTAGTTATATAGAAACATTCCATATCTATTACTTGTGAATATTCTCTTGTATCTTACGAGTATTGCACAAGTAGCTAGTCTTAGGTTTTTTTCCTGTATGTATATATATACTCGTATCTTCATATCAATAAACTTAAGCTTTTTTACCAAAAAAAAAAAAAAAATAAACTTAAGCTTCATCTCCTATATGGTATCATAGTTTAGATCTCTAAAAACCTATAGAGAAAAAAAGATGCTGCAGATGTTGAAGTGCTGAAGATGTTACATGAATTTGGAACGAACTAAGTCAAGAGATAAGCACCTATACATCTCTGAAGGGAATCAGCTACTGTGACATTCTCTTGTTGCAGAGACATCACCAAAATATAAAAGGTGAGAATATGCCCATTTCAGCAGACACAGAACAAATGACCATCTCCACGATTCTTAGAAATGTTTTCACCGAAATTACCATATCAAATATTTTCCAAATTTAATTTTCTAATGAAATATTTTCCAAATTTAATTTTCTAATGAAATCAATAAAGTTATTTTCTTACTACAATTAACGCTATCATTATATTATACAACCATTTGTCTTTTAACTTGATTAACTAATCACATAAATGATTTTTTGTGTCCTTACTACTTTTATAGAAAATTTAAACCTGAAAGCCAAACAATGACATCTTTGTATGCTCATATGAAGTTCATTTTTTTTTTTTTTTTTGTTACGAAAAGGGGAAATTTGCAAGAGTAACCAAAAAAACGAAGGAATTAAATTTATAACACCTCACAAAAAAAAAAGTAATATTCTGTATATTTTATATATTAATTCCTATTTTACCTTATGTGTCACACTCTTCTTTTCATCTTCTTTTTCTTTCTCTTTCTCACGATTCTTTCTTTCCCAGTTCCCACCGTGACCACTACCACCGGACTTCCTTCTTTCCCACTTCCCACCAAGCTCTCCTTCACTAGATTTCTTTATATCCCCCATCCCCAAGAATTTATTCTCTTGTCATTGAATCTACCTCTCGAGCCTCCAATCGTCATTCTCTACTTCTCGTTCACTCATCTCTCTCCTCCCCACTTTCATTAGATGATGTCCAACCGCTCCTCTGTCGTGTCTTACTCTCTCTCTCTCCAGATGAATTTATCATTAACTCAATCAAATAGTATAGACTCTATGTAAATAGTATACTATTTCTATATAGCAATCATCTACTATTTGCAGATATTGATTCTGCTTTTTTGATATTTAGAGAATATAAGTTAGTGATTCTCAAATTGGTTGCCTCTTCTCATTATCCAACAATCTGGCGTTGAAGAAAATAGTAGATGATGATGATGAAGCTAATAGAGCTAAAGTTGTCACCACATCCACGACCACCACCACCACAATGCTGTGTTGTTGTTACTATCACCACTGTCGCAACAACCACCACTATGCCGTCACCATCATCATCACCTCCACCACCACCAACCCGCCACAATCCCACCACCACGGCACCACCACAACCAGGCCGTCACCATCACCTCCACAACCACCACCACCATCTCCGCTAAAACAACCACTGGACAATTAGAAGTCAGTTGTTAGAGAATTTCTTTGTTTTAAATGTTGCCACGTTACACTGCATACCAAAGCGCTCACGCGCGCGTCCGTTTCTTCTAACAAAAGAGAAAGAGTGAATGGACTTTTCATCTCCCTCTTACGTTACTTGTTTAATTCTCTACATTATAGTGCTATATATTTAATAACTTTATCCAAAAGTGTTAGTTTTGCAATTCACCCTAGGAAAAGCTCAAAAAAGAAAAGAAAAAAAGAAGAAGCTGAACTTTATCGACAACTTGAATATCATGGAGTATGTCCGCCTCCCCCAACCGTCATATTGGTGACCTCATCCTATCTTTTTGTAAGGAACCAAACATTGAAAACTATATGTTAATTATCATAATTAAATAACAAAATTCAATTTGAAAAACTAAAAATAGTGTTATAATTAAACTTAATTCCTTGGATAAAGCTTTAACATTTTTTTTTTGGGTTATATGTTGTAAGTTTCTTTCTAATAAGTCACAATCTTTACTTCCTTTTATAATTATAATGATATTAAATTAAATATATAATAAAGCATATGTTACTTTTAAAGAAAACTATTTTTGGATTAAATTTCACTTTTACTGTATTTAATATGTAATCTCAACATTTATAAAAGATTATCGTCAAACAAGTTTATATCATAAATGTTATATATTTATGGTGTGACCATTTAAATCTAATTAATCTATATATGGTGTATGTAGTATATATGACTAAATGACCGTATTTGCATAAGTGAAAATGGTGCATCGTCCAAGATTCTTAGAAAAATTGTTAGTCAAATCATTCTTTTAATCAAAATTTTAGATGTAAGTTTGAGTCGTGAATTTACATCTAAAATTGTAGATTTAAGTGAAGTGGTGGTATTGTTGCCATGATTTAGAAAATTTCTCAGCCAAACTATTCTTTTTACCTCAGACATGCAGTATGGAATTCTAAGCTAGTTCGTGGATCTCCATAAATTTAAAGATAATTTATCTTTATATATATACAAATCCTAAAACATACATACATACATATATACATATGACCATTTATGTACAGAAATCTCTAAATATGTAAAGGATGTCCGCAGCTTTGCCTTTTGTTTTATGGATAACTCGATTTCACATTAATTCTTTCGCTCAATTTCACAAAGGTTATATCGTTTTCACTAGCCCTTTCTCTAGACTTTCTTGATGAATCTATATTTCTTCTATGTGAAATCTAAATACTATTTTCGTGTTATATTGACGTTTAATTTTAAAATTTGTTATGTATAATTATTTTCATGAATATCTATTAGATGTAATAGATTTAGGTTAAAACTAAAATCCGAATGGCTGAGATTGTTTCCTAAAATGAGATGATTGTTTTTATTTATTACCATGATTTGTTTGTACTAAGCTTCCTTTCCCCCTTTGCAATACATAAAATATATTCATAAATATTCCTAATTTTATTATTGCATTTGAGTTTATGATTTTCTTTGGTGGAAGATCTATAGGTATCTATATCTATATTATTTTACTCTTTTCTTCATCTCCATATAGTATATTATATATGCATGTATATATATATATATATATACACCCCTATATGTATAGTTCAATCCTAGATAAAATATATAGAAATGGATCTTGAGAATCAATTTTTTTTTTTTTTTTTTCAAAAGGGTATCGACTTGCTCCGAGGAAGAAGAAGTGAGAATAAGAAAAGTGTTTTTTAGGGTTTATCATTCTCCTTGACTTTACAAAACGTGAAATGTAAGGCACTTTGATCGTTGTTTTTTTGTTGCTTTTTTATATGTATCGCTTCCTACAATAAGTTAACAATATGCTTCCTCGTAGAATTGCATAAACATTTGTTGAAGCTCATGGTCCGTGATTCACATGACTATTGGTCATATATAGTCCAACATATTTAGGGAAATGAATCTGAGCTTTTTTTAGTGGCTTCCTTTGCAACAGCTTCTCTCTTCGCAGACTGATCAAGACAGAAATCTGTTCTTCTGAAAACGATAGCCGCTCTAGGTAATCTTGCCATTTTTGACGAGTCTTGATCTTTAGAATCAAAGTTATAAAGGATGAAGAGATAATGAATTTGATTTTTTGCTTTTTGTGGATCTACAAATTTACTGAAGTGATGGTGAAAGTTACAAAGCTTGTGGCTTCACGTCCAATTGTGGTCTTTTGCGTCCTGGTAATTTTTTTTTTCTGTTGAATTATACGATGATTCTACATGTCTACTCATCTCGTTTTTGTTTTTTAGATGATATAATTATTTTATGTATATATCATCCATTAGATGTTATAAATATAGGCATTTTTGGTGGTTGTTTTTGGGTGCATAACGATCTCGGAGTGGCGAACAACAACGGATAACGTAGCCAAAGACGTCGCTTCATTTACCAAAGATCTCCGGACAAGTATAGTTTCCGAGATTGAAAACATCGGAAAATTCACATATCCCAAGACAAACTTATCTACAATCGGCTTAGCGAGAGTTATAGATTCTTATCTCACCAACAACGACATTGGTTTCGCAGAGATTCAAACACAGGTTGTTAAAAGTAATTTACATCAATTCTTTTTTTTTAATCACTATCTTAGGATTAATTTGAGTTATAATATTAACTATAATTTTATGTTGTTGTTGTTGTTCTTCAGATTGCACCATTGTTGTTTGAAGCTTATTCAACGATCCCTCAAGTCTCACAAGTTTCCTACATTAGTAGGGACGGTCTCTTCTTTTCTTACATTGCAGAATCAAACACAAGTGTCGCTGTTTTTGCCAATTCGTCGTCAAATTCAAGTGGTGGAGACTACACTTGGTACACTCAAAACATTGATCAATTAACCGGTCGTCTCAACGGGAACGCAACGAAATCTCAGCCGTTAGATTTAACCCATACAGATTGGTTCCAAGCAGCACAAAGTAATAATTACACTACCACCTTTCTAGGAACGAGTTTGGGAGAAAAAGATAACGAGACTCTGATTCAGAGCGTGGTTAGCTTGTACAACAAGAAAGGTCTTGTTTCGCTAGGGTTTCCGGTTAAGACTTTAACCGATGTTTTGAACAGTTTGAATCTACACGGCGAAGAGCTTTACATGTGGACAAAGGACGGGACGGTGCTTGTTCGTGAAGGTTCACTGAATGCTTCTTTCTTCATCTCCAATGGCTCGATATGCTTTGGTAGAGATTCTAAATCCGTCTGGTCTCAATGCATCTCTGAAAATTGCAGTACCATTGGCTACAAGGTGGAGATCAAAAGATCAACATATCAAGCTTTTTGCTCTGTTCTTGAAGTTTCGGGTGTTCCTCTGGTAAATACTGAAACTTTTTTCACTTTGATGTAAAAATGCATCGATTTGTTTCTCAGCTTCTTCCAATGGTCTTTTTGTTTTTTTTTACCAGAGATACACACTCATGTTTCCCAACGAAGGAGGAGCAACACGAATCAAGCACCAAGCGGATAAGGCAATGTATCAACTTATTGTGGTTGTGATATTTCTTGGCTTGGGTTGGCCTGTATGGTTTGTGTGGTTTATGATGCAAGCAACAAGGAGAGAGATGCGTATGCGTGCAATGCTGATAAACCAAATGGAAGCAACACAACAGGCTGAGCGAAAGAGCATGAACAAGAGTCAAGCATTTGCAAATGCTAGCCACGATATTAGAGGTGCCCTTGCAGCGATGAAAGGTCTGATAGATATATGTCGTGATGAAGTTAAACCTGGCTCCGACATAGACACCACTCTCAAGCAAGTGAATGCTTGCTCCAAGGATTTGGTTGGTAAGACTCTGATTCTTTAGCTTTCTCTTATGCGTTTTCTTCACTGTCTCTCTAACAGATTTGTCTTCCTCATGTTGTTAAAATAACAGTTCTGCTCAACTCTGTTTTGGACATGAGCAAAATCGAAAGCGGGAAGATGCAGTTAGTGGAAGAAGATTTCAACTTGTCAAAACTTCTTGAAGACGTTACCGATTTTTACCATCCCGTTGCGATGAAGAAAGGGGTGGATGTAGTTTTGGATTCACACGATGGCTCAATTTTCAAATTCTCGAATGTGAGAGGGGATAGTGGCAAACTGAAGCAGATTCTCAACAATCTTGTCAGCAATGCTGTCAAATTCACAGTCGACGGGCACATTTTGATCAGAGCTTGGGCTCAGAGGCCAGGTTCCAAAAGCTCTGTGATCCTTGCATCAGACCCTCAAGGTGTGTCCAAGTTTTTAAAGAGTATGTTATGCAAGAATAAAGACCAGTCATCAAACTACGAAGCAGAAATTTCGAATTCCATAAGAAACAATGCCAACACGATGGAGTTTGTGTTTGAAGTGGATGATACAGGTAAAGGGATACCTATGGAGATGCGTAAATCGGTGTTTGAAAACTATGTTCAAGTAAGAGAAACAGCTCAAGGACAACAAGGGACTGGTTTAGGGCTTGGGATTGTGCAGTCTTTGGTAAGCTACTAAACTGAAAATGTTGATTCTCTTAACAAGTGAATGGCAATGCATCTAAATGGTTTTCGTTTCTGATCAATTATTATAGGTACGATTAATGGGAGGGGAGATAAGAATCACAGACAAGGCCATGGGGGAGAAAGGAACATGTTTCCAATTCAATGTTTTATTGACAACATTAGAGTCTCCTCCAGTGAGTGACATGAAAGTGAGACCAGATATTCAAGCAGGAGGCGATTACATATCCACGCCAGACCTCGGGCTAACTATAAACACTTCACTGGGAGGTAGCATGAATATACGCAACCTGAGTCCTAGATTCAACAATTGTCTCAGCTCAAGTCCGAAGCAAGAATGTTCTAGAGTGGTTCTCCTATTGAAAAATGAAGAACGTAGGAGAGTTACCGAGAAATACATAAAGAATCTTGGGATTAAAGTTACAATGGTGGAGAAATGGGAGCATTTGAGTTATGCCTTGGAGAGACTTTTTGGATTTTCACCTCAGAGTTCCATGGGAAGAGCAGAGAGTAGTTTGTCATGTCCAAGCTCAAGAGAGTTACCTTTGATTGGCATGGATGGTATTGATTCAAGAAGCCAACTTCCTAAAAGGAGAAGCACCAGTTTCTCTGCAGTTGTCCTTCTGGTGATTGATGCAAAAACTGGACCACTTCTTGAGCTTTACGATATTGTCAAACAGTTTCGTAAAGGCTTGCCCCATGGAATAACCTGTAAAGTTGTTTGGCTTAACGAATCGAGCACTCGTGTAAGTGAGAGAGGGGACATTAGTTGTTCGAGGCCCTTGCACGGATCACGTCTTATGGAAGTCTTGAAGATGTTGCCTGAATTTGGAGGAACTGTGCTAAAAGAAACACCTACTGAGCTGCAAAGGGAATCACTGCTGAGACATTCTTTTGTTGCAGAGAGATCACCAAAACATAAATTCCAAGAAGAAGGACCATGCTCAATGTTTAACAAAAAGTTAGGTAAGACGATAATGGCACCAACAGCTTCAGAGAGCGAGACTAGGATCAAGTCAGTGAGTAGTGGTCGAAAGCCTATTGGAAACGCAGAGGACGAGGAAGGAACTTCCAAGCCGAGTGACGATGAATTCTTAAGAGGAAAGAGAGTTCTTGTGGTCGATGATAACTTTTTAACACGTAAAGTTGCAACAGGAAAGCTGAAGAAGATGGGAGTTTCCGAGGTCTTACAATGCGACAGTGGAAAAGAAGCTTTGAGATTAGTCACTGAAGGGCTTACACAAAAAGAAGAACAATGTTCAGTAAATAAGCTTCCGTTTGACTACATATTCATGGACTGCCAAGTAAGTTTAATTGACTAACCTTCCATAACACAAAAACAAATAGTTTACTCCTAATAAGTTTTAATGTTATGCACAGATGCCAGAAATGGATGGATATGAAGCAACTAGAGAGATTAGGAAAGTGGAGAAAAGTTATGGGGTGCGTATACCAGTTATAGCGGTATCTGGTCATGATCCTGGTTCAAGAGAAGCAAGAGAAACCGTTCAAGCTGGGATGGACGCCTTCTTAGATAAAAGCTTGAATCAACTTGCAAACGTCATTAGAGAAATCGAGAGCAAGACGACTACTCTGCACTAGTATTGTATAAGTTGACAGTATGCAGCATTTTGCTAGTACCATGTTATAGCAGTTTACTTCTCAGTTTATTCTAAGCTTCCCGTTGTTTTTGAGAAGAATATGCCACTTCAGACACAAAACAGATGAACTAGTCTAAAGTCCCAAAAGATGTTCAGCCAAAGGAAACAAAACATTGCATCTTTTATGGGTAACGACACTGCATTGAGCTTAGATGTTTAGAAGATTAACAGAAAAAACTGATTCATTTTTAACTATGAGCAGAAGAAAGCGTCAATAACCTCAAAGACTTTGATTGATTTTCACATCCAAATGTTAAACTTGAATAATAATAAAGGACAAAACTTTCCCACCACAAAACAATTATGTGAAGTGAATACCAGACTTGTTGAACAAGGAGAGAAGATACAAAAACTCTTGTTGTGATAGCTTTGAAGATCTCTTCTCCTCGAAACCACCTTCCTTCAACACATTCATAACTTTTTCCTTGAATTCTGATGTTTCTCCTCCGTCTCCTTCTCCGTCATCCATCTCCATATCATCGTCATCCATTTCGTTGTCATCATCTTCCATTCCCATGCTCTGGTCACCAAGATCCATGGAGGTGTTCAAAGCAGCATCTCCATTGTTCTGCAAAGAAGCTAGTACAGCCTGAAGAGTCTTGTAGTTCTTCTCGAGCATGGAAAGAACAGACTTTTGCTTGAAAATTGATCCCAAGGTTTTGTTCTTTCTGATGAAACAGACTCTTAAGAAGCCATCCCACTCCTTCTTGTTAACCTGAGGGCCAGGCCTCCTAGGTTCGATGCGGACAACCGAAGAATCGACCTTTGGGGGTGGGCGGAAATTGTTCTTGCCGACTTTGAGGAGGTGGGAGACTCTGGCATAAAGCTGAGTGTTGACAGAGAGACGGCAGTAGAGATTGTCACCAGGCTGGGCAACGAGTCTCATGGCGAATTCCCTCTGGTACATGATGACAGCGCATCTGAAGCTTGTTGGATGGAAGAGAAGTTTGAATGTGAGAGGAGATGATATCTGATAGGGAATGTTAGCCACACATATGTCAAACCGGGGAAGCTCGGTCTTGAGCACATCACCTTGAATTACCTTAAAAGAGACAAAGGAGAACAATCAGCATATGTGTATGTATGTGCCAGTAACCAATATATTCCAAACATGAATCATCAAAATGAGTAGCTAGATAGGATGCTGGAATTCAAGTTCTCAAATTTAGAATCCAGTATATATCTCAACAGATATACTTCTTAAGCTTAGAAAAATGAACAAAATCAATAACAATCTCAAAAAAAGCAGTAGAGTACCTTCAAGCGGTTAGAGTAGGGAGTTCCTTGAAAACGGCGCTGAAGCTCGAGAACCATACGAGAATCGAGTTCGACGGCGATAACTTCTTTGCCAGCTTCTAGAAGCTTCTTGGTCAAGTTTCCAGTACCGGGACCGATCTCGAGAATCACATCGGTACTCTTAATCCCAGCTTTCTGAACGATCGAATCCACAAGCAGAGGGTTCTTAAGGATATGTTGCCCTTTCGATTTGTGGAACGATATTCCTCCTTGGTAATGGTTCGACGGTGCTCGATTCGAAGCCTTGGGCTTCTCCTTCCTCATCTTGCCTCCCGCCATTCTTGCTCACTTTGCTTCTCTCGAAACCCTCTAACAGACGACGGCGGCAGAAGATATGATGATTAGGGTTTTTCTTCTTACTTTCTTCCACCCGCGTTTTCTATTTATTTAACCTACTACGTATTCTGTTATTATTTTTATTCTTTTTTGGTCCGGTTTCATTTTTTTTTTCTTTTTAAATATTTCTACTCAAAATAACGTTTTCAATTTCACATGCTTTTCTAAACGAAAGTATAATGTTAATATTAGTAGTTAACTAAAAGAAAAACAAAGTTTAGTTGCAAATGAATAATAATAATCTTTTTGTAATAAAATTAGACTTATGATGTCATTCTTGTGACAAAAGAGTGAAATTTCTGTTACAGACATGTTAGTCTTGTGGTACTAAAACTATACATGAAACATTGAAACCTGTGTCGGGTGACTACAAACAAAACCGACTTCTTTTGTAGAGTGAAAACTTTTAAATTTTCCTTTCTTCGCTATATAATTAAAAAAAAAAACACTGCCGCAGCCTACAAGATACATATTCAGCAAAGGACCAAAAGAAGCATATACCAGTCTTATCCTCAGATCAGCTTTCTTAACGTTTTTGTCAATTTCTCTCGGAGTCGCTTCATCTTCGAAAGCATATGTGCGTTTCTAGCGAAATACAACTCCGCATTTGAGAGCATTGCATCCACGTCGTGTTTAAACGATTCAATACTTCTGTAGTACTGATTCTCTAGTCTCTGGTGAATCAGCTCAGGGTATAAAGGAACCGGGAACCTGCCATTTTAACCAGAGTTACACAATGCATGAGTCATTACTGCCACATAAGAGAATCCACCAGTTTGATCATATGAGTTACTTAAATAAGCACCCACTCAACTATCGTTTCTGATTTCCAAGTATACCAGATGGGTTTCCTTTTTTGAACAAATCCAGATGGGAATATTCTTAAGTTTATAGGACTAGGGAGGTTTTGAAACAATCAACTGCAGAGAGCTACGTGTTGTGAAGTACCGTACCTATTGCAGAAATCCATCTTTTGAGCAGCTTCGTTTAGCTTTTGGATCCCATAACTATCCTGAAGAATATATAACAAAAGCAAATAACAGTTACGAGAGGATAACAGAAAGATGAGAAATGATAGTTTCGGGAGACAAGACAAACCTGATGCTTGCTGATTGATTTTACTAGTCCAGCAAATAATGAAAGCAGTTTCTCTCTTCTATTTTCTTCGATGGTAGATTTTTCCCAGGGAAACTGGGGATTGTCAAACTCCCACGGGCTGTGAAGACTTGTGTCCCCTGTTTCATAGTCAACTCTGTATCTTTCCCATGGACTCTCTGGGAAGTCAGTGGATTTTACTTGTGAAGACTCAATCCTACCTGCCCACCAAGCCCCGCCTTCACCGGATGCATTTCTCCACCATACACGGCACTCATCACCAATTTCCCAGTTTGTTTGAATTGCAGCGTCGTATCGAGTCTTCTCCACAATAAAATCAGGAAAATTAATGAGATCAGGAAGTGTCAATTGAAACTCTTTGCGGGAGGCATGTGATGAAGAAGAATCCAGAACCCTGAGGGTCATTTTGCAGCAGCTTTCCCCAGAACCAGGATATGTATCGTAGTTAAGTTTCTCGACTTTGCAAATCTCTACAGCTCCTAGGTTTCGGGGAAGGTACCTTGACCGGTCCCTGTCATTTAATTCTCTAGTTTCAAGGAACTCTTGATGACCCTGAAAACGACAGTCAAGGAAAGTTTATTAACTCCACATTTGGCAAATTAATACATGGAAGTGAACAACGAATTACCAGCCAAAAGGACCTACCTGCTTGAAGTAAATAACTTCATCTCCTAGCTGGGGTATATAACGGCAGCCTTCCTCGTGTTCTGACAACAATAACCATGAGATTTTTCTTGAGACACTATTCAACCTTATCCCAGTATGCAGACTTGGTTTGCTGGTGCTTGCAGATCTAGACCGGGACCCAGCTTTTGAGGTAGAAGGCCATTCTTCAAGTGATGCACCATCATACTCGCTTGTGGAAGCCATCCCTTGATTCTTTATTTTATCTACAGACCCAGAGCCCAACCTTATGCGTAATGCGCTATTTCTTGTACTAGTTTCACTTCTTACGGATCTTTTCCTACGTCTCACATCAGCTGTAGATTCTCCAAACTCAAAGTCATGTGCAGAAGAATCTCTAACACTATCTATCACAGGTTCAGAATCCATAATCGGATTCACAGAAGAGGGAGCTATGGATGCAAATCCATCTCTACCATCTGCCAAATCATCTGCTACCTCATCAGGTTCTAGTTTTAGAGGACTGTTGGGATGCCGAAGCTTTAATCTCAGTCGTCGAACTTTCTTTGGAAGAATCTCATCAGCTTCCATAGAAGTATCTATATCACAATGTCTTGACTGACCAGACAAGGGTTCAACTCTCGACAGATCTTCATCCCTGCAAGAGAATACGATGAATTAGATATTGTGGAAATTTAATACAAACAAAACGTTCCCATTATAGTCTGATTTCCCATACCCATTAAATGGTTGGGCTTCTTCTACGTTCTCAGGCACAGTTAATTCGTTAGGTTCACAAACAGGAATCTCGTCCCTCCACTTGCACATATTCTGGTCTTGATCTGAAGATTTTATCAACTGATTATCGGCCTTTTCTCTCTGTGGCGTATTCATAGAGTAGGGAATATTCTGACACCATGAATCGCCTTTTGCATCTACAGAACCTGACCCGGGTTCTCTGGAGTATATACCAATCACTCTGTGATTCTCCTCCAAAGATTTAAAAGATAATTGCTCCAAATCAGCCTGATTTATTACATCTCCCTTGCTTTCCACAGACTCAGCTGCCTTCTTAACAGAGATCTTTACAATCAATCTTTTCTTCTGTTTGTCATTTGAAAGAGATTCCAGCATATGAGATGGGTTGTCCAACTGTCGCGAAGTGGGTATGCTTCTATCAGATTCACTGTTGGATGAATCATTATCATCATCAACTTCATCCGAAGAGCTTCCAGAAATTTTAGAAAGCAAGGATCGAGCATTTTGAGCCGCTGCTCTTTGTGGCCGTGATGCTTTGACATCAGAATATTTTCTTTTTGAAGCCTTCACAACAATTCTCCGGTTCTTACTTTTCTTAAGTCCAGATTTCGAGCTATCATTCTCATCCAAAATCCTCTTATCACGTCTTCCAGATGAAGTAGAGACCTCAGCCTGAGAAAACGGGAGTTAGTTAATAGATAATGACAAACAAAATCGCATGAGTTGAGCAAAACATACCCTAGGATGTTTTCTTCTTCTTTTCCAATGATAGTTATTTTCGTGAATATTTTCAACTTCACTGTCCTCGGAACTGCACTCAAGTTCATTTGACGAGTCGGAATATGGGCTTGCCCTAGCTCCATCAGAGGAAACTTCAGCATTATACTCCGAATCATTGTCGTCACTCAGAACTTCGTGTTCTGGTTCCCAGTACATAGCATCTATAAACTCAGGCAATGGCTCGATCAATCTATCCAGATCAGCCAAAGGAGGCATTATATAATCTTGACCTAAACTGAAATCAGGGCCAACAGAAAACTTTATCGAGGAAGGACGCCATTCAACTCCTAGTGCACCAAGTCTGCGTTGCTGAAACATTGTCTGGTCAGGTTCTGGATACGGAATCATACCTGAAAATTTAAAATAAAACACCAGGAAATGTTTCCTGAATAACCAACATCTTGCATAACTAAAATAAAGATGAGCTTTTGGAAACAAACTTGAATCACAAAGGAGATCCTGAAGGTTCCTCCGATGAGGAAGAAGCTGCGTCTCCTGCACCATGAAAATTATAAAGCTTAAAATTAATTTAACAATATAGCAGGTGCAAAGATATAAAAAGTATGCACAGTTTGGTGAGGTCTATTAAAAAGAACGCAACAGAAATTAGAAAGAAAACAGAAGAAACAAGTATTTGAAACACACCTGATCAAGAACATGTCCATTGGTATCTCGAATAAGAGGACGATAATCACCAAGGAAGAACTAAACAAAAGAAAGCAAGACAAAGGGTCAGAAAGCAATAGAGACTTCAGCCATATACCAGAAAATGATCATGCGTTTGAGATGTAAAATCCACCATACCTGGTCGTATTTTGCATTCTTTTGAGACTCTCCTTGTCCTGTGTTTAGAAAATATATCTGGCCAACGTCATCTGAAAGCACGATAGATGTCCCATCTCTACACAGTGCCAGGGAAATAGTATCATAAAAAATTGATTCCATAGCTTTCATGTGACTAAATAACTGCTTTAGAAGCAGATGTCTTACTGAAAGAAATATTAAATTGTATACCCAACTGGATATGATTAACATGACTGTTTCTTCTAGTTTCAGACTCAATAGTCATGTGCATGTTTAACTGGAGTTAGGTCATTTGCAAAACACAAAACAGAAAAATATAGAGTATCTTGTCCTGGAAATTTCATTGGTTACTTACTGTGAAAACTTTCCATCAACCAACTTAAATCTCCCGATTTCGTATACTTTGATTGGTATACCCTCCCATATCTAGAAAAAAAATCTAAGGATGTAAGTACAACTATTGATAAGATCCAAGGATTATTCCTATCCAGAAAAATGAAACTCACATCCCAGATGATTGTTTTCCCATCATAGCCAGCGCTCATAGCAATCCGAGGATTGAAAGGATGGACATCCAAGACATAGGACTACAAAGAGAAGATGAGTGAAACAGATCATTTATATCAATATTAGTATCTCCCAAAAGAAAGTCGGGGATGAACAACAAAACTTGAAGATAGATGCAATATACAATGAACTATGAAGCACACAATTCTCAAAAAAAAAGGGAAAGAAATAAGGCCCAACTAAATGATGGAGTAGAAATTTTAGAGGATTGTTACCGATTCACTGTGACCAGTTAAACAATGCACTAAGCTACCATCAGCAGCATTCCAAACACAAATCCTGCAATCTGAATATACACCGACAGTTTAAGGGAAACAGAAGAGAGTAGTACGTTCATGTACTTTACTATCCATGGTTGGAACACAGTGAGACTGAGAGATATTCATCAAAATGATAATCTATGCATCATAAGATTTCCTCTAAGATTAAGTATTTACCCATGATAGCGGCAAGTACGAAACGATTATCCAAGCTCCATATAATCATATTAA